AGTCTTCATGACTTTTCTATTTTAGGATCTATAAACACATCAATTTCTCCCCTCCCCATTCATTATGCCCATCAGATAAAATTATCCTCTAAACTTCCTGTTATAGGAGTAGCTTTGATGACCTCTGTGTGTGGCAACTTCTCAGTCACTGCCAAGACATATAATCCCTCAGTGTCTTATCTCTTCTGAATTTTTGTTTTCCTATAGCAGTATTTAAAATACACTGCTCAACACAGAGGAGCTGGCTGAGGCTGCACAAGTAAACAAGACATCCACAGTCTGCCTTTGTATTGTGTCTTCTTGAGGTGGGTAACATGGGGCATACATTGTTGTATTTTCTTTTGCACAGTATGGCTGTCATAACTGTTCCAGCTCTGCTCCTTCTAAGATTAATTGTTCCTGGTTCTCTGAAGGATAAAATGAGCATTCAAAATGGCATGTATTCTTAAATGCTACAGATCTCTTGAGCTTTATTCCACATGTATTGTTTAACATGTTTACTTTTAATTGGTTTGGGTGCAGGAGGAAAAAGGGGAACAGTCTTCCCTAATGAAAAGAAAGGCAGTTTAGCATGATTCAGCAGTCTCTCCCCTGCCCCCACCCTGAATCTCTAGGCTTCCATTCCTGGACAAGGGCAAGTACCTAGGTTCCAGGTTCTATGGGGGCCCTGGTCTGGGCACCTACAGGAGGCAACCAATAATTGTCTTTCTTGCATAAATGTTCACTCTATCTCTCTCTCTATCTCTCTCCCTCTCAGCTCCCTCCCTTTCTTCCTTTCACTCTCACTGAAAATAAAGTGAAAAAATATCCTTTGGTGAAAATGAAAAAAAAAAAAAAGAATATAGTAAAGAAATTTAACACCTCAGGAGTTGAGTCTCTTCTTTCTCAAATTGGAGGATCTAGGAAGTGGCCTCTCTGGTTGTGTTCATTGAACTCTTTATGGGACTTTGTCATAAACATTCTGGTTTCTTTACAACTTTCTAAGGAGTTCAAATAGCTAACTTCTCATTGAATATCAATGCCAGCTTTATTATCATCATGTTGGCATTTCCGTTTTCTCCTGGTGAGTACATTTGCAATCCTGTACTCAAACAGAGTATTTCTCAAATCCTAGAAAATGGAGGCAAGATTTGGTATCATCTAGGAAAAAAATTGGTTTTCCATTTGGTTTAGAATCCCTGAATTGTTAAACCCAATGGACAACAGTGCACAGGTACCTTTGAGTACATTGATGGATTTTTTTTAATCCCTGTATTGTAAAAGATAAGAAACTGTATAGTGGATTTGAATGGCCACTGGATACTGGGGCAGGGAAATTCATCCTGTTTCCCATCTCTAAAGCTGAAGTACTTGAAGATTCCTTATCTTAGGATTTAGAGGTCATATTTTCCAATGGAAATGGCTAGAAAAATCTCGTTAGGGTCTGGTATTTTCAGTTATCAGTCCCAACATCAAATCGTTACCTTAGGCAAACCCTCTTTGATAGCTCTTGGGGTAATTCATCTGCCTTGAAATTGAGAGTTGTTTATTGTGAGGCAACTGCATAGACATTGGAAACAACATTGGCATAATCAGTCTCTATTAATTCCCTTTATACTAGAATGATGTTAGCAAGTTATTATCTTTCTTGCTCTCCTATCCATAGTCAATGCCAGAGAAGGCTCACTCATGCCATGCTGTGTCCTCATTAAAAGAACTGCATCCATGTCTTCTCACAACAGATGTGGAAATATCATTGGAGATACCAAGTAATTGAATGTATTTTATTTGTGCAGGAGCTAAATTGGTCAAAATATCTGATTTTATGATGCAGGCAAATCACCTCTCACTTATTAGGAAATGGAAAACATTTCAGATTTGTACATTATTATATAATGAATTGTTACATGGTAAAATTCTTATAGTAAAATTGGTATGCTACAAAGTAAAAACCTAAGTTATTACCCTCTCCAGAGAAAATATAGAAATGCCAGCAAACCAGTAGCATATATATTTATGCCTATATTACTCATTTTAATGATCTGTGTAGTATTCTACTGTGTGTAAGTACAGAACATAATTCAATCTTTTATATTACACATAAAAAAGTATATACATGTTTCCAACTTTTGTAATTACAGATTATGCATCAGAAAATAAATAACCTTGTGCATATGTATTTTATTAAGAATTTTTTGAAGAGCAATTTTTGGTTCATAGCAAAATTGAGAGAAAGTACAGAGATATCCTATATCCCTATCTCTCCTACCCCTACACATGCATAGCTTCGGCCATTATCAACGTGGACAACAGAGTGGTACATTTGTTCAGAATGATGCAAACACATTAACACTTAATATTCACACAAAGTGTGTAGTTTATATTACAGTTTTCTCTTGGTGTTTCTCTATGAGTTTGAACAAATATGTAATGAGATACAGTAATAATTATGGTATTGCGTATTTTTACTGCCCTAAAATTCCTTTGTGCTCCACCTATTCATCACTCCACCTCCCTACACCTGACAACCACTGACCTTTTTACTGTCTCCATAGTTTTCCCTTTTCCAGAATATCATATAGTTGGAATTATACAGTATGAAGACTGTTCAGAATGCCTTCATTCATTTAGTAACAAATATTAAAGTTTCTCCAGCTATTTTCATGGCTTGATAGCTTGTTTCCTTTTAGATCTGAATAACAGTCCACTGGCTGGATGTACCTCAGTTTATTTATCCATTCACCTATTGATGGACATTTTTATTGCTTCTATTTTGGCCAATTATGAATAAAGCTGCTCCAACCATCAGTGTGCAGGGCGTGTTTTGTTTTTGTTTTTTGTTTGTATTTTTTTATTTTAGGTGGGCATAAGATTTCAAGTCCTTTAGGTAAATATCAAAGAGCATTATTGCTGAATTGCATGGTAAATAACTTTAGTTTTGTAATAACCTACCAAACTCTTTCATAATGTGGTTGTTCTATTATGCATTTCCACCAACAGTGAAAGTGAGTTTCCGTTGTACCACATCCTTGCAAGTATGTGGTATTGTCAATGGTCTGGAATTTGTGCATTCTAATAGATGTGTGGTGCATTTCATTTATAATAAGGTTTCTAGGGGTAGAGGAGGTCCTGTGCTTGTTAGAAACTTTCATAAAAAAAGAGGAAATCTGTCTCTGTGCCATGTGTTGCAAACATTCCTTTTGGGTTTCTTCATCAGACTTGATAAAAATGTCTTTCTTCTCATCATGGATCAAAGTTATTTTCATCACTGCCCTGGCATTTCCTCTTTATTTTGGTGAGTACTTTTTCAATTCTGGATGAAGCAATTCATATATCTTAGAAAATTCAGGAGACAACTTCTACTATATAGAAATGGAGCAGCTTCTTTCGTTAGGTTTCTAATACTTAAACTGACAAAATGAAAAGAGGCATGTTACAAACCCCCTTTTTAAAAATGACATCAGTGGATTGCTTTTTCTCATTTCCCACCTTAGAGAGATAGAGGCAGAGATATGGGTTAGAATGAGCAGTGAAACTTAGCTTTTTGCTTACTTCTGACTAAAGATTTACCCTAATTAGTATTTTCTTTGGAGGTCAGATTCAATGTTTGCAAACACATAGTGTAGGGAGTAATTATGTCTCATAGATCTGACATTCTTAGACAATTTGATTTGTTGTTTTCCAGTTCTGAGTCCACTAAAGTAAAAGCTTTGTGTGAGGTGAGACCTTCTCCTGGAAATTTATCTTCCATTAGTGCAAGGAGACTGATGAATTTGAGTAAAGTAGCTTTGAGATATTGAATAGACCCCTGATATTAGAATGAGTAGCATCTCATTAAGTAGTAATTAATTTCATGTTAGGCAACTTTATACAGGCATATTAAGTGGCATTAAACTAGGCATATTCTTCTCTGACTAGCATGTGTTATTTATTTAAAAATAAATTAAAAGGACTATGGTATCTACATAGGAGAATTTGGTGATAACTGCACAACAGAAAATAATTTTTTACAGTGAGAATAATTTGATATTAAATTTCAAATTTGGAACTGTTTTGTGAACTGTGTTTTGATACTACTACAAAAGGCTCATCTCTGAACTTTCGGGTCCTGAGTAGGCGGTTTGTGTAGTATTTTGATCAACCAGGGAATCTGATTGATTTCCTCTCTTATTACTTTTATATTTTCTTTTTGTGTGCTCATTCCAGAAAATTCTCTTGCATCTCCAGCTCGCAGAGGCAAAGAGGTAAGTTATTACTTATTAATTTTGAAATTGAAAAGGTAAGTTTTCAATCCTTTTATAAGTTTTAACAGCAAATTTCATCGAACAGTACCACAAGTGATACTCAGTGGTTAAGCACCGACCTATAAACCCAGAGGTTCCTTTTTCAAATACTAGTCAAGGCAAATGCCTGGGTATGTGCTAAATCCCCAGTAGGGGTCTACAGGAGGCAGCCCACTTATGTCTCTCTCTCACTGATGTTTCTATCTCTCTAGTCCTTCTCTCTACTTCTATTTAAAAAATGAAATTCACCCAACAAAATGTGCGGCAGAATGATCCTTCAAAATATTTTTTATACCGTGCCATTATTATGCTAAATTCAATAAATAAAATATAGCATCCCTATAAAACCATTTAGTATTTGGACAAGATAAAAATATCCCATTATTTCAAAGATTCCTTTATTGGTTATCCTTGTTATCTGTAAGCATCTGATAAAAGTTACAGTGTATTTATTTTATTTATTTATTTATTTACTAGAGGACTGGTGCATGAAATTGATGCATGGGTAGGGTCCTCAGGCCTGGCCAGTGATCAGGGCCTATCTGTGGGTGACCAGCGGGGCAATTGGGGAGCCCCCACTGGCACCCACCTTGGCTGGCGTGGCACCGCCTTCTCACCGGCCCTGACCCCTGCCACCACCAGTCAGTGCCTGTGGGCTGGGGGCAGCTCCTGCGTTGAGCGTCTGACCCCTGGTGGTCAGTGCACATCATAGTGACCTGTCATTCTGCTGGTTCTGCTGTTTGGTCGATTTGCATTTTAGGCTTTTATTATATAGAATGTGTTTATTTTATTTTTAAATATATTTTTATTCACTTTAGAGAGGAAGGGAGAGACAAAGAGAGATAGAAACATCAATGATGAGAGAGAACCATTGATAAGCTGCCTCCTTCATGTCCCACACTAGGGATCAAGCCTGCAACCTGGGCTTGTGTACTGAGCAGGAATTGAACTGTTACCTCCTGGTTCATAGGTCGATGCTCATATGGTGAGCCATTCTTGTTGAGCAAGGGTACAGTGTATTTAAAGTAGAATTGTTTATCCCATGAAGACAAGATTACAAAATTGTCAACTTAAATGATAAAATAATTATATCTTCATAGAGCAGAATATTATGTAGAGGTGAAGAAATATCTAAATGATTAAAGGTTACAAAGACATTTTAAAAGTTAGTCATGGTGTTGCTGGCATGGCTCAATGGTTGAGCTTTGACCTATGAACCAGGAGGTAACGGTTCAATTCATGCTCAAGGCACATACTGATCCTCAGTATGGTGCATGCAGGAGGCAGACATCCAATCAATGATGCTTTCTCTTCATTGATTTTTTTTCTATCTCCCTCTCTCTCTCTGAAATAAATTAAAATATATATTTTTTAAAATCTGGTCATGTGAGAATATACACCATATTGTTTTGTTTTTTAAATATATTTTATTGATTTTTTTACAGAGAGGAAGGGAGAGAGATAGTCAGAAACATCGATAAGAGAGAAACATCGATCAGCTGCCTCCTGCACATCTCCTACTGGTCCAATGCGTGAAATTGTACATGGGTAGGGTCCCTAGGCCTAGCCTGTAATTAGGGCCATCTTCTGCCTGCTCGCCAGTCCCCAGTCCCATCCTGCTGCCACCCACCCCGGTTCCCCGTGGTTCCCCGTTCACCATCCTGCGATCAGAGCCTGTGGGCCGGAGGGGGGGAGGGACCAAGAGGTGTCAATGCACCTCATAGTGATTGGACGAGCGGCTGTTCTGATTATTACGCTGTTATGATCACTGGGCTTTATTGTATAGGATATGCAAATACTAATATATATGAATTTACAAATATATAGCGATAATCTGAATGTATCTGATTCTCTAGTAGAACCATTGAAAAAGATAGGGAAATTATTAAAATTTCATTTTATGGTTCCTTGTGTTATTAAATAATGGGGGAAACCTAACGCGAGTAGGAGAAGTGAGTTCAGAATGGCTACATTATAAAAATACATTCAGCAATTTGTCTGTTTTTTTAAAAATGGTATTGAATTTGTAAAAAGATATCAATAATATTTTATGACTATGTGGATTATTTATGTCCAAACCTCAATATAGAATATTTTCATTCCATTCTGATGCATGGAATCTTGTACTAAAGTTAAAGCATATTTTATTAAATTGATCATTATCTGACAAATTTTATGTTCTTCTTTATGTTTCACAGCCAGACTGTACGATATATAAGCAGCGATTACATGATTGCAACAACCAAATGGAACCAATCTGCGCATCCAATGGTTTTACTTACTACAATAGATGCGCTTACTGCAGTGTAATGCTGTAAGAACACAAGACTAAATATTGGCTCTCAAAAAATAATAAAGAAACCATCACAAAATGATAGGAAAACCAAAGTTTCTTATAGGCCAAGCACAGTATATCTAGAAAAAAATTTTAATATATTAGTAAAAGTCACAAAATCACACTGGTAGCTTTCCCAGGAGTTCTCATTTGCAAAAGCAGTTTTGTATTTGACCTCTAAATATAACTCTGCTGGATATTTTTCAAATGTATAGATAATTTAATTTAACCATTATGACTTACTAATGGCAGTCTATGACCAATATATTGAATTCTATTTCAATATAACTGATAACTGATAATCTCTATGATATAGCTTTAAGTTGCAGGGAGCACAATTGGTCAAGAAACCCTACTTGACTACAGAAAATTGAAATCCTTCACAATGGGCCGAGGAAAGGACTCCTCTGAGGGTCAACGTGGTCTCCATGATTGACCCATGATAGACTGCGAACCTTTCTTAGAGAGCAAGGAATTCCAGGACACTTCCACCCAACCTCCTTTCCTACATGCTTCATTCCAAAAGAGTTTGCAGTCTAATGGTTCAGTGAGCCTTTCGAGCTCCATCCTCATTTCCTCTCAAATTTGTTCCTTCTATTTATTTCCCAATTTGGTTTCTACTTATAGAGAACCAACAAAACAATCTCTAATTCTCTTCCTCCAGTCTGAGTGGGTTCCATGAATGAGCCAGGACTGACCATTTAGGAAGAGCCAAGAAGCCCCAGTTGAGGGAAGGATGTGTGAAGGGCTGGGGAGCACATGGGTCCCAGATGGTTGTGGAGGGAGCACAGCTTCTTCACACTGTGCTGCTCATTTAGAAGCACTTAGTGCAATACCCAGGCCATTTTAAATACTGTCTATAATAATTTTTCTTTCTCTTTTTCTTTACAGAGACACTAATAGAGCATTTACATTTAAGCACTATGGTAAATGCTGATTCTGCCTGAGCTACACACTCTTAAGGCATTTACGGCAATCCTATTTTGCAGTGGATTCTACAGTCAATTCTACAGTCTTTTCAATCAGGGTTTTAATCTCCTAGGTGACCAGACAGTGCCTTCTATGGTATATAAGATGGATTATAGGGTGTTGAAAATTGTTTCCCAACTCTAAGACCTTTGATTTTCACTCTCTGTTCAATCATTAAATAGCATTTGAAAAACTATCTTAATTGTGTGTTTGAAATCCAATGCAATTTACAATCATAAATATTTCAATCAACACAATGTTAAGTAATATTACCTTTATTAAAAAACTAAAGGCTCGATGCATGAAGATTTGTGCAAGAATGGGCCTTCCTTTTCTCCGGCCAGAGCTGCCTTTCCACCTTCCCATGCTGCCCAGAGACCCACTCAGTGACCCACTGAGTATGCAAATTAACCTGCCATCTTTGTTAGATTAATTTGCATACTCACTCCTGATGGGCTGGTGGGTGTCGTGAAGGTATGGTCAATTTGCATCTTTCTCTTTTATTAGTGTAGATAATCCATTTTTTATTGACCACTTTTGGTAACTACAAGTAAATACTTTCAAAGGTGAAAAAATAATACATTACTTGGGTGTTCTTTAAAAGTACAGACACTTGGGCACCTTTTTACCCCAAATAATCAAAACCTCTAGAAGAGGGATCCAGGAGTTGAGTTCTAACCGGTACCCAGGGTCAATCTTACAATCATAAAGAGTAGGCAATATGGACTCGTATTATAAAACATAGGTTATGTCTGTAATTGAATGAACTCTAAGGTCTATTCAAAGCTATTATGTGATTTTATTTTAGTCTGGGGAAAAATTATTTTTTTAGTCGCTCACAAATCAGTAAGGTAAAGGTTGTTAGTGTACTTGATTTCAGCTAAATACTAGGCAGTTACTAGATATATGACTTGCAAATATTCCCCCTGATTCTCAGGTTGTCTTTTTAAATTATTGATGTGCCCTTTATTGCAATTTTGACATATTTAATGAATTCCAACTTATCTATTTTTTCCTTTGTTGCTTGCACCTTTGTTGTGTAGTAAAAGAAATTGCACCTTGGTTTCCTCCTAAGAGTTTCATGGCACTAGTAAACTTGCATTTAGAACTTTGAGACATTTTGAGTTAATTTTTGTATGTGGTAATTTATACTTTTTGCATGTGGCTATCCAGTTGTCATAGCATCATTTCTTGAAAAGACTGTTCTTTGGCCATTTAATTTTCTTAGAACTCTTGTCAAAAACATCAATTGATTAGTCAAGACAGTGTAATATTGGTGAGAGAATAGACAAATGGGTGAGTGGAACAAAATGAAGAGTCTAAAAATAGGAACATATAAATACAGCAACATATAAAATGCAAAACTATAAAACTCCTACAAGAGAATATAGGAGAAAACCTGGCTGATGTTGGGTATGGTGATGGGTTTATAAACACAAGACTAAAGGGGTGGCCCACAAAAGAAATAATTGATAACTTTAATTAATTTTTTAAAACTTCTTTTCTGTGAAAGATAATATCAAGAGAATGAGAAAACAAGGTGTGGACTGTTCAAAAAACACATCTGACTAAGTACTGTTACACAATATGCATAAGGAACTTTTAAAATTCAAAACTAAGAATAAAGTAAACTTATTTTTTAAAAATATGGGCCAAAGACTTTAACAGACACCTCATAGAATATACTCAGATAGCCAATAAGCATATCAAATATGCTCTACATTATTTGTCGTCAAAAAATTTAAATAAAAACATTAGATGCCACTACATAACTAATGCACTGGGTAAGATCTGGAACACTAACAATACCAAATACTGGCAAAGATGCTTAAGAACTCATACCTACTGATGGGAATCTGAAATGGTACAACCACTTTGGAAGACAATTTGACAATTTCTCTTTATAGTTTCATTTTTCAAATACACACACACACACACACACACACACACACACATATATACTAGAGGCCCAGTGCACAAAAATTTGTGCACTCAGGGGGGTCCCTCAGCCCGGCCTGTGCCCTCTCAAAGTATGGGACCCCTTGGGGGATATCCACCTGCCAGCTTCCCCTGAGGGGTCCTTAGCGCTGCTGTGGAGGGGGAAGATGCTGTGCTCACCAGCCTTGAGCCCGGCTTCTGGCTGAGCGGTGCTCCCCCTGTGGGAATACACTAACCACCAGCGGCAACTCCTGCATTGAGCATCTGCCCTGGTGGTCAGTACAT